GCTTATAATTTTGAATTATTATAAATTTGTAATTGAATTCAGAATTTTGTGGTGGAGCGCTGTTAACTTATCCCTAAAATTCATCCAAATGTTGGCCCAACCTTGGACAGGGAGAGCGAACATGTTTTCAATCCATAATCTTGATTTTCCTTCAACTAAACAAGCACAAGGGGAAAACTACTTAAATTTTCTCATAATTGGTTGAAAACTTTGTATTAAAATACTACTTAATGACAAAAGATGCTTCTATGCCATGGATTTGATCCCATGCTTCTTATTTGGAAGTGTGCCAATTGACCATCTCAGCTATTGGGTCATTAGAAAATATTTGTATTTACTAATACATCATAATCAATTGGGTAGAGGAGTTATAAGAAACTTTGAAGCATGGCTTCTCTAAACTCCTTACATGCTGAAAAGTTAGCTTTATTGGATGAGATTCAGGTATGTAGAAACTTGGGTTTCAGATCAATTGAAGTTGAATGTGACAATCTTCTTTTGATGAATAGAATGCTTAGGTAAATGTACATTTTCACGGTGTATGTACATAGTGATCGTTCAGATCATCAAAGTATAGAGGATATCGAATTGATACCACAATGATGCTTGCGATGAGTTCACAATTCATCGGTTGCTTACGATAAACTTATAATTCATCAAACGTTTGCGATGAACTTTGGTCGCATGGTTCTGCGATGAACTTTGGACGTGCGTAGAATTGCGATGAATTCAAGACCATTACAGAACCGCAAGATCACTATAAACCGAGAACAAGTATCGGTTAAATATGTGTCTTTAAGTTATGCACGTGATAAGGCACCACGTGGATTTAATAAAAGTGTGCCCACTAAATAAATGACGCTACCAGTGCCATGTTGGTTAAATGGGTTACGAAAGGAAATAGCATATACGAATTATGAGAATTCTCAGACGAAAGTAAAGTTTGTCCTTGAGAGATTTTATAAGACACATGGTGAAACCCTAGTAGTGCTCCTTATTAATAACCAACATTGAATCCAATATTCCATTTCCTAATAGAATCAAACACTTTTGATTCTTTTCTTTCGGAACCTCGGGATCTCTCCTAATAACAAAATAATCATTCAATCATTGCCTTACTCATTCAACCTTATCACCTTTATCATTTACCCTAATCTTCAACTTACTTCCTACCTCCAATCTTTCTTTATTTTTCAAGGAGACCACCCTCACGTAGCCTATTCACATGGAGTGTCTTTTATATTCATTGTAGGATAAAATGATAAAGGAATTGATGTAGGATGGTTTCAACATGCCTTAGAGAAGCAATAAAGCAATTGATTACTTAGAAAATCTTGGAATTGATAGTGGGGTTCTTAGTAATTATCAATTTAATGATTTGGATTTCTAACCCTAGGATCAGGTTGGTTGATGTGTAGTCTTTCTTTCTTTGTGTTATTGTTGTGGGTTTGGGGGATTGAGTGTGAAAGAGAGAGCTTTGTTGTTGGATTTGGGGCAAGCCTGGCTATATCCCCTTCTGATGTTTCTTCCTTATGAAAATGGTTAATACAAATTAGTCAATTGCCAAAAAAGATTTTATTCACATCATGTTGTCAGAGATGGACTGGATAGGTAGGTAATCACCAGAGCCATGAATTCAAACCAGTTGTTTGTTTGTTTGTTAGGTTCTTAGAAATGTTGACTTGGTGAAGCATACCCCATTTGCATGTGTTGATATGTGCTATACCCTCCAACATTTATTTCTGTAAGCTTATTTTAATGTAAAATAACTTCGATGATTTATAATTATTTTCATTTTTATGTTTTTTATTTGAATGAATCAAACAATTGAACTAGATGGTCAAACTATTTAAGCTGTGACCTGATCATTAAAATGGTTATTTTAAGGGTGCAATTCAGGTTGGGTCGAGTTAACATTTTACACTGGTTCTGGATTTCAACAACCCAACTGGTTTTCATCAACCTGCTTAGGGCATTGATTTATCATAAATCATAAAATAACAACAGTATTTTTTTTTTTTAATTCCAAACTTTACTCTTGTTGGAGGAGCAGTCTCTTTAAAATTTTATCAATCAACCAACATCAAAAGAAAAGTGAAATAATACAAGCTGACAAGATGTGGCACACCTTGCCCAGAACCCAAAACAAAAATCACACCTCCTTCTGACCTTATCTTCTCAACCCTGCCTAAAAGATTAAGCAAAATAAAACAAAACAATAGAAAGTTAAAGCAACAAAGCAAAAGCCATTTGTCAATTTGCAAAACAGGGATCTTCCTATAATCTTCCTTGAATGAAGGGTGTGATAAACTTAATTCTCTTGGAATTGCACATCTCCTGTCTCTCTTAAAACATAGATAATATTCCAATACAATAGTAAATTTGGATCTATAATTTGGTCGGGAATAAAGGAGGGGAAAGTTGATCAACGGCCATATTCTTTTGCAAAGGATTATAGGGCATATAGAAAATATAAAATATTATAAATATGATAAGATATATACACTTAAATTGTGGTTAAATGGATTTTTTTCCTTGGGCTTTTATAAATGTAACTATGGTTCAAAAATGTACACAGATTTCATCAATACAAATGTTAAAGAAACAAATGCATATATGAACAATAATGGTTTAATATGTTACTTTGGCCTCGCTCTTTTGTCGGAAGCATATTTATCTAGGTAAATGCATTTACTCCAGAGAAGTATGGCTTGTGTTCGTGTATTGATCAATGGGAAAGTGTTTTCAACTTTTCTGTTTTTTTTTTTTCTCAAGTAAATTATTTGGCCATTTCTCTGAGAAAGTGTTTTATTTCTCAAAGGTGAATAAATCACTTTCCCATGAAGGAAAAAGCTTTCCAAACCATCATGAGCCTAAAATGCTATTACCATCACACAAGAAAAGTTTGTGGCAAGCAAATTTAGATGACAAAGGATGAGTTGTTTGGACCCATTATATATGGAAAACTAGGTCAGTTTTCCTAATAAAAAAAAAGTGTTACAAGACTTGGACCACAGTGGAATTAAAATATATTCATAAATTTTGATAAATAACACCTTATTCGTTATCATGTTTATGATTCTAATTTATTGGTTAATTATTTTTTGGATATCGTATCTTTTCCTTATCATAGTAGAATCTTTTTTTTATCAAATGGAATAACCAGTAAAATTGTAAAACCATTAATTAGTAGTGAGCATTTCTTTTATTTATTTAGGAAAAATATATGGTATTGAAAGATTTTTAACCAATCAAAACTCATCCCACCCATGAATTTTAATACATAACACCTGATTGATTATCACGCTTTATGCTTGTAAAGTTAAATGGACAGAAGTTTTTGTTTCAGATATTATATGTTTCTGATATCATAGTTGAACTCATTTATTTATTATCTTCATGGGGCCACACAACGAGAGGTAGTTCATCCTCTACACTTAAGGTTACCACGTGTGACGTGACTATGAGTCTATGACAGTCCGTAACCCGACCCAGCATCCGACCTGATTATGTGAGATTCGGATTTTACAAACTGCATCTGATTACTTTACTTTATTGGAATTTCATTATTCTATAAATATTGATTTAGTATATAATAAATTCAATACTTCATAGTTTATGAATTTAATTATTTTTGTATAAGCCAAAAATTACTTGGTAGTGAATTTGCCTAACTTTAATCTGGTTATAACATGCATTGACATAGACCCATGGTGGAAAAATTTTCCTAATTAAACCGGTCCATTTCAGGCCACTTCCCCTTGCTTTTGACATTTGTGTATTTTGGACGTCCCTATTGCAAAACAACATATGAAAATAAATTCAAAACACCAAGTGTCCGTATTTCATTGGAGGAGGAAGGAGGAAACAGAGGCTGATAATGCTGCATCAAATCAAATATACTTTGCTTAGATTTGACGAATTAATTCGAATCTCTATCTATCAAATCTATCTAGATAGAAAAGAAAATATCCACGCGGTAAATTGAATGGGGAGTAGCTTGGAAGCAAGAGAAACAGTCCAAGTGGAGTGTCGACGTTCCATCCAAGCATCCAACCGACTCCACTTCTGTTGAGACTTAGAGGAGGAAAAACGTGGAACCACGGAAATGAGTCATGCTTCCTCACGCACTCCGCACTCGACAATCGGCATGCACGCGGATTTGCTTCCTACTCCACCCCCACGCACCTACACGGAAGCCTCTCCACCAAATCCTATCCTCACACGCTACTACTAACGAGTCCAACGAGTCAGACTCGGATTCGTTTTCTGTAATCGGTAATACTGTTAGTCGAAAGGCCCAGTGAATTTACCTCAACAAGTGTTTTTGATAAAAGAATAATTTTAATATCTTAGAAAATTTTGTTTATTATAAAAACCCATTATAATGATATAAAATATAAATAAATTGATCAATTACTCGATTAATCAATATAGTCTCACGAGATACAGGCAAAACCAAAGAGGCATAATAAACTCTGATTCCCTTAACAGCTTAGGCCACAGCCGATGTTCTACCTCAGTCAGTCCATTTGCATTTTGCTACTGAAAAGGGCAAATGCTTGGGAGCTTATATCACAAAATTCAATTGGGTTTGGTGGGGTGGACCCAAAAGTTTTTTAGTAGAAATATGAACAACTAAAGAATGAAACCCACAGACAACAAACAACCAAACTTGATTCACCCGTGGATTTTACTTTTTGCTGCTCATTGCATTGCCCTTGTAAGAACAATCAAGTTGCCCCCAAAGGATTCAAACCCAATTCTTCCAACAGATCTCTTTTTCTCTCTGTCTGACCCAATTGAAGCCGAACTCAACTGAAACATTCATGGACTACCAAACAAAATGGGGACAATAAGACCATTGCTTTTTTTTTTTTCTTCTGTTTCTTGGAGTGCCTAGATACTAGCAATGAAATGGGGACGGATTTTGAGGGATTTGGAAAAACTAACGAAACATGATTGGTTTGGTAGTGTGTTTTCCGGAAATATAACAAATTACAATTGTCAAAGTGTTTCTTACCAAACACAAACACCCCATTAATTTTATCTAAAGTCCCACTTCCACCCAACCACTTCGGTAACTCTTCTTCTCTCTTCTTCACTGATTTCTGTCATCCATAACTGCCACGTTCGGAGAGTCAGAATTAAGAGGTTTGCTCACTTAGATTTCACCGTTATTAAAACCCCACACCGACTCCCTCGTTGCTTCTCCCTCTCTCTCTCTCTACTCTATACGCGCACAACTCATTTTCCTTCTTATTGTATATAATCTTTGAAGATATCCAGGTAAACAGAGTCAGAGAAGACAGAAAAAGAGATCGATTTGGAGAAAGAATAGTGAACGGATATGGCGAGCGAAGATCTGGAAAGAGGAGGAGCCAAAAACAGAGCCAACGGCGGCCCTCCACCAACATATTACTCCTCTTCTTACTATCAAGATACTCCTGAAAAGCAATGGATTTCTTGGTTGATTCCCGCCTTTGTTGTCGCCAACATTGCTATGTTTATAGTAGTCATGTTTGTAAATAATTGCCCTAAGAAAAATCTCGGCTTTGATGGGAAATGTGTCGCCAGGTTTCTCGGCAGGTTCTCCTTTCAGCCTACCAAGGAGAACCCCCTCTTCGGTCCTTCTGCTTCAACGTAAGTAGTTCTTGTTTCATCTTTGATCTTCCAATTTCCCTGATTTTTTTTTTTCTGTGGGTTACTGGGACTCAGAGATGGGTCTTCCATATTAGAGGGGTGCAGCCTGGTTGTGAAGATTCCCTTTTATTCTTAATGGATTGATGTTTCATACCCAAATATTATGCAAAGTTTCATAGTTTATAAATCAAGTACAAAATTGAATTTTTAGGCTTGTTGACCTTTTGAGATCCGAGGAAATACTTGAACCAATTAGTAATCTTTAACTTTGCTAGGCTGTAACTTGAAATTATGGTCTTTGTGCTTGTTGATGTAATCTATGCTTGGGTTTGACAAAGGAATTATGCGCATGTTTTGCCTTAGGTTTGTTGTATCTTTACCCCTATTACCAGGGCACCTACAAAAACGTAGTTTCTTCTGCATCCTTTTAACTTAATCTGCAAATTTTGCACATTTCTTTTTGTTGTCTTCGGTATGCAATGTAATGAAGGATGAGAATCATGCCCTATTCCTCTGCAACTAGTTTTGACTCCTGGACAATATACTCTCAAAGGCATTATATGATCATGGTTGCCACTTATTTCTTTTGACTTGCTGTAGACAAATTAATAAAATATTATAGTAAGTTAGAGACACAAGATTCCATAAATGGCATTTACCTTTCCATCGGTTATAAACATGCACACAATATATGGACTTCTGTTTCTTATGCTAAATTGGGTCATTCATGAACAAGAAATTTCATTTCTTTCTTCTTTTGTGTCATTGAATTTTGATATTTTTGGAGTTTCCCTTGATTCAAGTTTGACCTAGTAGTTTGTTCTGCTCTTGAGAGAGATAGATGCCTTATTTGTTTGTGGAACTGGGCAGTAGCAAGCATAGAAACTGCTGATCTTTCTGTTATGAGGTTTAAAAAATGATTTTTTTTTTTTTTTGTGTTGTGCATTAATGGAAAGAGTAAAACGAAAAGGGTGTAAAAGTAAATAAGACGGAACTAAGATTTGGTTTTATGCTTCTTGGCAGATTAGAGAAGCTGGGAGCTCTTCAATGGTACAAGGTGGTTCATGGACATCAAGGATGGAGGCTTATTAGTTGTATCTGGTTGCATGCAGGGGTTATTCATCTAGTTACAAACATGTTTTGCCTCATTTTTATTGGAATCCGCCTTGAACAACAATTTGGGTTTGGTAAGCATTGATTTATCATCAATTTAAGCTAAATGGAATTGATTGCTAATTTTATGAATTAATACAATATCATTAATGTTCAGTTTTAAGTTATAACTTCTAGTACAGTAATGTAAATAAAAAATGGTTTTTGCATCAATTCCCCTATGCTTTTAGTGATTTTGTATATTTCTCAATTGATAGTTGTATGTTTTACAGATTGACTTCATCCATTTCCCTGCTGTTAAAAGCAACTTAAAACTGTTAGTTTAAATCATGAAGTGACAAAAACTTCAGTTAATTCACCTCAATTCATAAGGGAACAGAATCAATTTCTTTTATTTTCTATTTTGATTTAAAAACCTTTGTAGTCATGTTTTACAATTTAAAAACACAAAATATCATTCCATGTGTAAATAAATGAACAGAAGGTTGAGACCAACAACATTAGGTAATGGTCTTTGTTCCCTTTTTGATTTGATAGATTTGAGGGTAATTTTGTTACATCATAATTTGAAGTAATGGTTATAAATTGCTTTTAGATGTAGGGCCATGATACAGTTACTCTGTAGACATATGGGGATCATGCAAAGTTGAATGGCATATTGGGGAATGGTTTAGATGCAAAAATCCATAAACAAAAGGCCCATCAGTGAAGCTTGTGTAGACAGGGTTTGATATTAGATATTTGATATTGACACATTAAATAGTTCTTCATCCATCATCTCAGTCTGTGTGTTGTTTATTGTTATTAATATAGTCAGTATATTTTTTTGTCTACTATACCTGCCTTCCGGTTGTATTAGTAATTCTTTGACTATTTCTCACATTTACTTTGGTATGATTATTGCAGTGCGGATTGGGTTAATTTACCTCTTGTCTGGATTTGGTGGGAGTGTTCTCTCTGGCCTTTTCATTCAAAACAATAATATATCTGTTGGTGCCTCTGGTGCTCTGTTTGGACTCCTTGGAGCAATGCTCTCAGAACTTATCACAAACTGGTCTATTTATACCAACAAGGTGAGACCTTCAACTCACTTCTTTTATGATTTTTATGATTCTTGAACAACCTAATTTACATTTCGCTAGAAAATTTTCCTTCTAAGTTTTCCATGGTATTGAATACAACCCCGTGCTGGAGAGATATCGGGCGCTCTTTGTTAAATCCCCAGGTGGTTTTGTTTTCTAATTGACTAAACATCCATCGTATGAGGTTCCATATTATATCCCGATGTTTTTTCCTCTAATCAGTCCTAAAATTATATACAGCTTCTTTTTGGGCATTAGTTCCAATGAATCTGCTATTCCCTTAACATATTAATTTTTGATGAATAAAAAGTGAGTTTGTTGAGGGAGGTAGAGAGAAAGACACCAAAAGAAAATTTTGCTATGATACCCCTTATTGTAATTGACTAGTTGCTTACTCTTGTTTATAAAATTCTTGCCAAGGTTGTAGGTGCATTAGATAACAGTATTCTCATTAAATGCGTGATCAAGCATGGGTTTCGCTTTATTAATGGCTTCTAACTTCTTACATTTATCCAAAAAAAAAAAGGCTTCTAACTTAATTGTTTGTCATTCCTTGTTTGTGAAGGCCGCAGCACTGTTAACGCTGGTTGTGATCGTTGCCATCAACTTGGCAGTTGGGATACTCCCTCACGTTGATAATTTTGCTCATATCGGAGGATTCTTGACTGGTTTTCTGCTCGGCTTTGTTTTGCTGCTACGCCCCCAGTTTGGATGGATTGAACGCCATAATCTTCCAGCCAATGCTCGTGTGAAATCAAAGTACAAAGCATACCAATATGTCTTATGGTTGGTTGCACTCATTTTGTTGATTGCCGGGTAAGCTTTACCAGTCTGAACTTTGAAATTGTTTATGGGTGATGTATTTTTACTTTAGGGGTTGGATTCTTTATCATTGAAATCATGGTGTTCTGAGACTGAATCTCTTATTGCAGATTTGTAGTTGGGCTGGTAATGTTGTTTAAAGGAGAGAACGGAAACAAACATTGCAGTTGGTGCCATTATCTGAGTTGTGTCCCCACCTCAAGATGGAAATGTGATAATTGATTGATTCATACGTTTATTTTTTTCATTTTCTGTTTGTGTTGAGTTTGGTTTCAGCCGTGTAAATGTCTAGTTATGGTTTTTCAGTCGAGAATGCTTTCCCTCCGTTTATTTTTTTTGGACACCATGAGTGGTAAGCTATATTTGTTGCTGTTGCTGGCAATTTCTTTACCAGCATGTGTATACACATAGAATTGACATTGAATGGAGATGTATTCTATTTTTTTTTTAATTCTTTTTAGTAGATCATTGTGATTTGTGAATGCCTTGTGTTGTAGTCGATCTTTGTAATCTTTTAGGCCTCATCCATTTGTTGGGAAGTTTTTACCTGGGTAAATGAGACAATGTTTTCAACCCGCCGTTCGAAGTGTCACCAAGTCATAATTTTGGGTTTGGATCAGTCAAGACCCGTCAGATGGTAATAAATTCTTGACTTGCTCAAGAATAGTTTGTTGATTATTGACTTGCACACTGAATATATGTAAATTTTCAGAGGTTTTTTTTTTATTTTTTATTTTGGATAACTTTTTGAGAAATGTGTTTTAAGGTGCCAGTTTTGTTATTTTTGCGAAAATCCCCATTTTTTGGCCTTAAATTATAATTTTTAATAAAATTAAAAAACATGTATTAAATATAAAATAATGCATATATATATATATATATATATATATATATATGACCTGTGACCTGGAGGCAAAAACGGTTCAGCCTCCGGGTCAGTTTTTAAAATATTGAAATGAGACATCTTTTCAAAATTTTGTATGTTGGAAAGGGCATTTTAAATTTTTTATTTCAAAATAATTTGGTCAATTTTCTTCCTCCAATGGGTAAATGATTTATTCATTTGGGAGAGAGATTGGATTAACTGAACGCCTCAATTGTGTAGCATTAGAACGAATAATTACATCCCACACCATTGATTCCACATCGTATTGAACAACTATTTCGTTCAGCCAATCCTATTTTATAAGTATGTTTGTATCAGTGGCATGGCAGACACCTACTTTAACCTATTTAATTATGCTTGCCATGGTTGCGCTTAGGAAGGCCAAAGTGCCAAAAAAAGAATGTTAGATGGTAATGTAATTTAATATTGTACACTGAATCACTTCAAAGACATCAGTCTATATACGTTTTATTAATTCATGCTTTATAACCATGATTAGACCTGTTTATGGATAGTATATATATAAGTGATATTGAGATCTTTCATGATTTTTGGATTTTGAAGTCTTTTAATATAAATAAATGAGGGACGGGTTTGAGTTCGGGCTGGATGTATTCTGTTAATATAAAGGCCAAGCCTGAACCAGTTTGGCCCGTGAACAGGTCTAACCATGGTTTTTAAAACTAGACGATCGGACCAGAAAAACCGTAAATCAATCACCTGATCAGTTCCGTTTTATCCTATAATCATCTTTTGGCCAAAAACTATTGATTTGGTCAGCAAACCACTGACCTGGGTGTCGAACCGTCCAACAGTTTTTAACGGTTTTTTTATTTTTTATTTTTCTTTTTGTCAGAACGGGCCACCCATTCGGTTCGAATGGTCAGACCATTCGACCTGAAAACCGGACCCCTGAACGGTTTGTTGTCTGATTCAGTTTTAAAAACCTTGGGTCTAACTGTGATATATCATTTTATCAAATGGTTCAAGTTTTTTTGCTTACCCATGCAGTTCATGCACCACAGATTTTGCCATGTTGAAATAGGGAAATTTTAATTCAAGCTTTCTTTTCAATTTTGAATCTAGAATTTTATTTGAAAGCTAGATGTGGAAGATTAAATAAAGACCAATAAGAAAAATTCAATTCAATATGTTTTCAATTTTGGACTTGGAGCTGTTTATTCTGAATGTAAAACTTTATTCAACTCATAGCAACCTGAAGATAATCTTTCATGAAGTCATCATTCATCACAAGGGTTTGGAAAGCAAATCTAGCAAGCAGGATTTTAGGGTTTTCTTCTTTATTTTTGGAAGCCTAGTCTCCCACTTGTGATATGTGCTATACCCTGGGCCCCAGCCCAGTATCACCCCATATGAGTATATAATTGATTCTTCATAAAATTTTCTCAATAACAAAAAAAAAAAGACATCAAATCCCAAAATTTTTGATACATAAAAAACTGAGATCCCCCCAAAAGCAATAGGGGATTCTAAAGCTGGCATTAGGATGATTGTTAGAAGTGGTTTAGGTGTTCATTAAAGCAGTTCAAACTGTGTCCTCCTTGTTCTGCATCTAAGGTTGAAGCACTGGCCTTGTTAGAAGCTCCATCAGTTGCCAGGTATTGGTGTAGACATTCTGTGCTTATAGATTTTTTTGGTCTCCCCTGAACATAGTGGCCAAATGGAAAATAATCAATGTCTTTAACTCTATCTTATAATCACAACTCATTAGAGTTTTGTCTCTAAAAGGACTTCTGCCAAGACTCTTATAAATTCTGCCATTTGGAAAAAGAAATTGAAACAAAATAGTGGAAAATAAACAAGTGGCGTCGCCCGGACTCGAACCGGAGACCTTCAGTGTGTTAGACTGACGTGATAACCAACTACACCACGACACCAACCATGCTATTAGACTAACTGTTTCCTTGAAATAACAATGAAAACGATAAAGCTTAATGCATACACGGTGGGACTCGAACCCACAATCGCCTGACTAGAAGTCAGAGACGCCTTATCCATTAGGCCACGGATACCTTGGTTTGATTACGCGATAATCAACAACTGTTCAGTGTCTGAATTTTCAAAATATATTCTTTTAAACTATGCTGATAATCTCTTATGTCTATTCTTCTAATGTTGCCTTTATTTGAATGATTTCTTGATGGTACTCCCAATTCTTGGAAATGAACCTTGACAGAGTTTCTGTATATTGCATATAATAAATAGCTCAACAAAGGTTATCCCAACTCTCTTCATTATTTTAATTTTTGTAAGAGTGGAGAGAGAGAGAAAACGAATTTGTGAGAATAGTTACTTGGAATGTGTAAAATTTTTGTGTTGATAAATATAAATTGTTATCAATATATATAACCTAACAGCGGAATGAATGGAATCTCTTCTTCTGCAAAATGGTATCTACACGAGTCTTCTTCCGCAGAGTATGTGGGTCAAATGCAAGCTTAACGTTGCTGAGCGTGCAAGGGCCAACACCCGAACTGCTGAGGCACACTTTTAAGTTTTAACCGATGGAAATGGCAACTGAAGCTCGGACTGAGTGAAACATGATTTTAACCGGATTTAACTCTTGAGCTGTGAGGACTGATGGTTGATGGCCAGTGGGGGTTACGATCGAGACTTGACAGACAGCTGAAGAGAGAGGTGGCAGTCGAAGGAGAGAGGAGCAGGAAAGTGGTGGAGCGAGAGGGAGAGAGATAGTGTGGGGAGAGGTTGGGATCGAGACTGGTGACTGACAGCTGAAGACTTGAAGAGAGAGGTGGCAATGGAAGGGATATTATCGAGGGAGAGAGGGAGACAAAGTGGGAATGTGGAACCGAGGAAGAAGAAGAGGAGTGAGGGGGAGAGAGAGAGAAGGGCTTGGAATTGTAGTGTCAGACTCGCTCTTCCAATCATATCGGCGGGTTGAGCCCAACGGACAAGGTAGGCAGAGAGGGAGACTGTGGGAGAGTGGAAGTGAGGAAGAAGAAGGGGAATGAAAGAGAGAGAGAGAGTTACCGTTGCAGTGGTGGTGGCATTTACGGGACAGGGGAGGGGAAAAAGAAGAAGAAGAGAGAGGGGCTGCGGTGGCGGAATGGACGAATTCAAGAAGACCCCTGTTCTAAATTGTTTTTGTTTCGTAGCTTCGTCTGGATTCCTCTTCAAAAGTCTTGTTGTATCAGTGAATACAAAATCTTGATTTTACCTCGAGGTTTTGGATTTTCAATTCTATGTGAGATTACAATTTAGGCTCGTCAAAGTTTTTATTATTGCTTTTTTGTTATTTCTTTCTCTTTTTGCTTCTTGCTTGTGGCCGAAACAGGGGCTCTGCCTTGTCTTCTTCTTTGTGATGGTGGCGAGCTTTTTCAGCACTTAGAAAAAAATGGGAGGTTCTCTGAGTCGAAAGGCATTTGTATGTCGACAACTTCTTATTGGACTATCAAGTTTATGGATTTGTCATTTTGGTATATTGGGTTTTAGATTCATAGGAGGGATGAGGGAGAGCAAATGCAAGTTATATAAGGCTGATGTTTTCATTGTAGATTAATTGAGTCGTAAGTGGAATGTTTTGGTCTTTTAGTACTAGATTTTTATCTGCTTCCTCTTCATAATCACATCATGTTTTTAAATTTTTCATTTTGTTACTTTTTTGTTTTGGATAATCTATTCTTAAAGTAACATCTATCCATTTCTTTGTAGAGCATGTAGATATTTTGTTTACATTCATTCAAGAATTTTGTTTTGTATTTGCGGCATCGACAATATCCAATTGTTACTTCATGAAGAGTTATTCTAATTCAAAGGAACGAAGGCACCACCTAATCAACTGAGAAGTCTCCTTTCTCCTTTCTCCTTTCCATCTCTGAATTTTTTAATTTATTTTATTTGTTACTCCCTATAATTTGTATACCTCTCTTTAGTTTACAAGATGAACCTGTATTTATAACTTATCTTTTAACTCTCTTTCTCTCTCTCTCTCTCTCTCTCTCGTTATCAACGATTAAAATGGTGACTCATTATATATCCTTTTTATTATCTTTCCAGACAAAGATACACATCTAAGTTTTTTGAATACATCAAAGGGATGATCTTATATGTTGTTACTTATAATAGATGCTCGTATACATTAGCTGTTTTTTGTTTATTTCTCTTTTCTGTATTTCCTCATCCAAATAAAAGAAACAAAGAATAGGGAAACCAAAAACTAATAACCCGGAAGTAATTCTATCAAATGGGGGTGAACAACAAACAATGTTTAGCCTACCAGAATTCTGCATCCAACTAGGAATTCCTTTGAAAAAGGAAGAAGATATACAAATGGATGTGTAATAAAAGTAGAAATCACACTATCGATTATTATATTTTGGAAAATCCATCTCTATACAAGTTGTATGGACCTATAGAGTTGGTTATGTATGCTCTGGTGTAACATATGGATAGATTAGGCTGTCCAGTAGATTTTTTTTAGCTATACAGTAGATTGATTAAGCTTTTGATTTAGAATTTAATCCTTAGGCTGGAGGCTTAAGATTATTTTTGGCTTTTGCACAAGTAACTTAGTGGTGTCTAATAATAATCTAATATCTAATGTTCTGTTAAAACACATGTCATATGTTATGATGATGATGGTAGATGGTATATATTAGTATATGGATCTACACATGGGTCATAGTTACAGAAATCCACTTTTGGATCAATCAAAATCCTTTAAATAGAGATTTTGAGTTTGTTAGAACTTGGAAGGATCAAAATTATCTTCTAATCTAATATTGTGCCTATTTTTAGAAAGTATACTTGTGATTTCCATTTTGAGTTGGTGGTTTGGGTTTGTGGGTTTATCTTGAGCCAATAAAATATAACTTTGTATCTCTTAAATTCATAATTCAGTTAATCGCGACTCAGGTTTGAGCTTTAGGCTGAACAAAAAATATAATTTTGGTTCATGACATACATAATGACATGAGTTCCATGTGCTACAAGTATGTTTTTGTGGGCACGTGAATTATACATTCCAGACCAAGGTTTAAAATATTGATACGTATCGGCCCGTATTGGCCGAAATGTATCATGTCGGTGACTTCCCAATCTGCCCTTATAGGGGATGTATCAGGGTTCTAACCGATTCAAGAGATGGAGGAGTCTTAAACCTGTCCCCCTGAACCAGTTTTAAAAAAAAATAATAATAATAATAAAAGAGTTGAAAGCACTATCGATATCACCCGATATGCCCCTACCAGCATATTGATATTTTGAACCTTGTTCCAGATCAATGTTTAGTAGCCAAATTTTAGCTTTAGGCAGGATGCTGCTGCTCATGAGCTTGCAAAGTGGTGTAAAATTATACAGCAGGAAAGTTAATTGAAATTGGGTTTTTCTTTTATTTTTTTTATTGATATCAATATTTTATATAAAAGTGAAAGAATTTATAGGGACAGGAAAAAAAGGTATAACATATCACAAATTTTTTTCTTTATTTTTATTCTCCCAATTATTCAGCACGGGCACCCCTCGCTGGTTTCTATATAGAACATCAAATTTCATTAATCTACTCCTTTGACCAATCTATTATTTCTACCTAGAATATAAATTGCTGGTTGAAATGACATTCCGGGTATAACGTGGCAACACATTTCTCACATCAACCCAAAATGCAATTCCATTATATCAAACGCCCCCTAAAAAGTGAGTAGCCACAGGTTTTGATACAATCTGCGCCTTGACGGCTTGACCCACGTCAACTTGAATTGTACAAGTACTTCTTCAAACGGGTATGACATGAAGATTCAGTGTGTTTCACCCCAACCTTTCATTCTTATTTATTTACGGATCTCCAACGGTACTAACAATCATTGAAATTGCGCAGCTCACAGAAATAAATCGAGTCAAGGACGAGACACCTATATCGTCAATCAAGATCCTACTGAAATGAGATGGACTCAACGCCCTGTCCAACTGAAATGCCGTAGAATTCAATCACATTCTATGAATCTTTGGGAGTTGGGACTTGGGAGGCGCCTCAGACTGAACTAGGAGTCAATCGGCTACTACTCCAGCCTGTTTTTAAGTTTATCGACATTTAAGATGGGATGAGATGAGTTTACCTACCTACAGGCTACAGCTATCAATTTAATGGAACAATCAAGATTATGAGACAACAAAATGCATCAACACGTTTTCCAGCAGATTAGCTCCTCGAGACCAACAATTTATATGGGCAGCGGCAGCCCAGGCCCCAGTGAACAAGGCTCCCAGCCTCCCACCAATGTGGGGTCTGGGAAGAGACAGATGTATGCACCCTTACCCCTGGCACATAGACAGTCTATAATTTAACCCAAGGGGCCAGAGGAGCTTGGGGGCAGACTGAAGAAGTTGGGTGAAAATGACTTAAACGTCCTATTTAACAATGGATATGGCAGTGAACAGAACAGAGTGGCAAAACAGGATTCATATTCATGTAACTGACCGCATATATAGGCTTAGATAATGAAAAAGAAGATAGCCAATCATTTTGCTTGGCTAAACAACAGAATCTATTTTACAATCAATTCTGAACGCAGCTAAAATGATGCCCTTGCAACCAAAAAGATCAACAAAAACATGAGGCAAGAAGAAACCTGCATTTCCTTCCCCCCTCCTTTCTCCTTTTCTTTCCTTCTGTAGTATCATTGACAATGACTTGCTAAATTCACAAGAGAGGGTAGGGGATTTGGGATTGAAGATTTGAAAAACAGAAAGCTGTGTCAGTGGGAAGCTGAAGGTAGCTTCCAGAATTTCTTGGTTGCTACAAGAATCTTCTCCCTCCCAGTTGATTCAGGTTCTGGCTCATGTATATTGGCAGTCCACCTTATTGCACGTGCAATCCGACCCACCTTGTCAATGACTTCAGGGGAATCTCGAACAACCACTGTTCCTTCAGGACGCAACATCCGATCAATCTCCACCATCAAATCCACTAAATTACACCTATAACCCAAACATGGAGGAGATCATTCCCAAATCTATATACATCAGGCTCAATGAGAGTAGGCATTCAATCAGAGGAAAAAAAAAGTGAAAATTAACCTCATATTTCTGGAGAATTTCTCCCCCTTCCTCACCACAAATAGTGAAAAATGTAATATTAGTCTAAAGGGTTCAACTATCATACCAGAATAACTTAAAGCCAATCAACCGGTACCATAAAAGAGGCTTTGATTGGTCATCAAAATTCACAGAGGTGCTTTGATTGGTCAAAGCTCTTCCAGTACCATGTCTTTCTGGTACCATAGATTTTCCCTATTCTAAATCCTAGTACAATCTATTCAAATGAAAGGAAAGAAAATACCCTCATTTTTTAGGAAATTTATTTTAATAAACAGGGATAATATTTTTGCTCTCCTCAAAATGCAATTGTGCATAATACCATATCTGGGTAATTTTTGTTCATATGAACCAGCCCACCCCTCTCAAGACCACAAAAATTTGTGATCAACATTGGGTAATGGCCTTTTAAACAACCATATACAATTAAATAATATAATAGTTATATAAATATATAATACAACAGAACATAAATCATTTTGCATTTGTCAAATCTAAATTCTAATTAAAATATGCATTAAGCAATTAGTAGATGATGATATTACATCAGTACCTGTTCTTGCCTGATCCAGGATGCTTCACAAGTGATTCAATGCTGGTTACATGAATGAGATCATAAGTTCGAGGGTATGTTGAGAAAGGCTCACACCTATCAGCACCAATCCAACTGTTAGCACATTGATGAAGTGCATAGAAAGTGATAAGCTTCTTAGTCCTATAAGAAGGCTTGTACATTGTATCTATGTTTAAGTCCATCAAATGAGGCCATAAAGAAGCTAGAAGCAGTAAGAAGGTACTTCACTTCAGAAATGCAAGCTTCTCCAATGCTAGGCCTTCTTTCATTAGTTTTTTAAGTGGTTCCACTTCCAATTTGCGAATGAGTCATCAATTGGGAAATTTTACTGGAATTGTCTATATAATCTTTCACGTGATCCAAACATAACTTTTGTTACCATCAATGACCTGATGCAGCAAAAACCATGTCTAGTTCATTTTTTTATGGGTAACAGTTGAGTTTTATTAGATCATAAGAAGAATGAGAATATATACAATATGCCAAGCATCTATCTCAATGCAAAGGTTGGAAAACTGTTTGTAGATATTCTAACCCAATGGAAAGTTGGCTCTAACTCCCTAGTCAAACGTTTGATTCCCCTTGTAATGCACCTGAACTGCTGTATTGCACTATTGTTTTCCAACCAGCCTATGGCAACTTTGGAGTCCTCTTTATAACCTCCTTGAAGTGATTTGCCTATTTGCATTAACAAAGTCACCACCAGCTGCCAATCCTAAAGATGTTGTCCATGATATATTGGCCAAAACAGTTCATTGCATTTACCCAGTGCACAACTTTCATGTGATGCTTTCAATGACGGATTCTTTTCTACATTCTTTCCAATTGAAGATACTAGCATTCCTCTCCTCTCATATTGTATAGAGAACCACTGCTCTTGTACATTGCCATATAACCATGTCTAGTTTTTTCACCAAGGATGATCCTATTTTATATACATTTCATTGCTTTGGTAATGTAAGAGCACTGCTCACTTAATTGCTTTGGTGATTTCAATTTTCAAATTCATTCACTTAAATTTCATTGATCAATATATTATAAGAACATGAAACAATAGTTGGTTTCTAAAGGAACAACCAACATATATGGCTCAAATGAACATGAGAAAACAAATGGAAGGGCTTGCGGAGAATATGGCAGATTTATATCACCATTAGTATTTTGTTAATTGTTATGTCAGAAAAAGATTTGTTTGTAACATTTGCTTACCAATCATGATACATTCCAATCAGGCCTCTGTCATAAATCATGCCAAGTGTAGAGGGTTTCCGAGGAGGAACAACATTCATCACCCACACAGGATCAGACAACAATGCTGCTGCAAAGCCTCCAAAAAATGCATTCATGTCCATAACATTGCGTATGGATGGAGTCCCAAGCTTCAAGTTGAGAGATTTCCTGTAGTATGTAACTCTTCTTGCCCAACGCCGTGTATCAGCCTCAAACACAGCAACCCCATTTTTCAGAAGTTTCACTCTTGAAGGAGCTTTTGTTACCCTGTCAGGCCAATTAGGAATGGTCCCAACAGCATATTCTCCTTCATGAGTAGGCATCTTACTCACACAGTTCTTCAACTTGAAGTACCTGCCAAGTTATCCGGATCAGACATGCATTTCCATTATATTCTATGAAGTTATGTGGTTGAACTCTTTCCCCAGTGCAAATAAGCTAAGTGTTGGACAACTGATTTATTTATTTGATAAGTAGTCTTGGACAACTGATATTAAAGGCTGGGTCCCAGCTTAAGTTCAAAAAGGGGAAAACAAGTTAAGATGCAAAATATCACAGCAGAAACCGTAACCAAGATAGCTCAGGATTTTCCGTGTTAAAAATGAATCCTAATATGAAGCAGGGAGCCAGGGATGGGGGCAGGAGAGGGGAAAAAGCAGGAATCAGATACAAGTGCTGACACTGACATACTCCAACTCAGGAAGCAGATATGTTGAGAAGAGCTGAACCAAAACCACCAAAACCATAGTTGACAATATTTTTTTACAGGATAAAGAGAAATTTTCATTAAATAAAAAAGAAAAGGAATGTTAATGTGTGGTTATTATTCCAAGATTAAAAAAAAATGACTAAGCAAACCTAATACATCACAAAAGATTGTTTTAAGCAACATCATGTTTTTTGTGACTTAAAATTTTGGACAAATGTCAGCATATCAAATATGAAAATATATGAACAATTATATGATGAATAGTATATAATTAATAAATGCAGAAAATAAAACAGGAAGGCATAAATCATACTTATATTTTTTTTTTTGAAATTCCATATCATTCGCATACATATGGTTGATGTTTGAAAAAAAAAAGTCGCATATTCTTGTGGAATCTATCAATGATATGTTTCCTTGAATGTTTATTCACATACAATCAATACATGCATAATATGCAGTCACTAATTAGGAGAAAGTCTATAAGGCAGGATGGCAACCAAGATGGTAAGATCCTAGTCCTGCAACTAAGGGTGAATCAAAACCACACTGCAAAATTATATAAATACCTAGGAATCTTACCATGCATTATTTGGGTCATCAGACTCGTTACACAATTCAAGTCCAAACTCATTTTGACTAGGGGTGCATGAATCAGCTGAAGGCTTTTTCCAAATGACAGTGTTACCATCCACAACGATCAGCTCATAACACAATGCTCTTGCTATAGCTTGGAGATCTGCCCATTCTTTATCTTGTTTAGGCCATTGTACAGGGGGGCCAGAGATTACCAAATAACCTCCTGGTCGAAGCAACCGATCCACTTCAACAAAGTATGTTCCATCTGCAGCCAAATTTCATTGCTGATCAGGAAAATACATATATATCATTGCAAGCAATTGCAAAGGAAGACATTATCAGAAGAAAAAACTCACTGTAGGCAGTAAATGGGATCAGACAACGAGAGCAGTGAACAAGATCAAAGGAGTATGCAGGAAAGGGTAACCTGCGAGTACCAAGCATGGCAACAAATGCTGGTATACCCCTTTCTAATGCAAACTGTATCTGTGCTTTATGTGAATCTCTTGGGGCAAAAGACAGGGTCAAAATATCTTCCTTAAGTAGGTAACCCCCAAAGCTGGCAACCTGCAGAAGATTGAATTATGCTACCTCTGAAAATACAAATACCAACAGAAGATCAAGGTGATGAAAGAACAATCCTACCCCACATCCCATATCCAGAGATGTCCTCAGAACTCCTCCACTTATGGGGATATATTGTCCCAGCTTTTCAATATATTGTACAGCACCATCAGGAAACATTGTACCTCCACCTGGGAATATAAAGTATGGACCTTCTTCCTTCATCCATCCCTGGTGGCCTTTTCTGTCAGCAATTTTATTATGCGGCATGTTGCTGTGCCATATCTGCATTTAAAAACGCAGTTGTGATACTGAGAATTATGTATCAATTCAATGAGAGAAATATAATATATTTGTTTCTTAAAATACCAGTTTAGATGGTATGACAACTTCTGCACTGTATCAATGCAGATAAAACAATAAATAGCATTATCTGCCTGCAATGAAAAATGAAATGAGGACTCCTAAAGTATAACCAGGGTTCACAATTTTGATATTGATGGACACTTTTCCAAGCACAAAGGAGGATATTCACTAAAAATATTTTGAAAATCAAAAGAAGTTATAGAACATCACTAAAAACATGGAATTTATTAATGAAACATCATGAACTGTTAGCAGTACAAGTCCAGATTCAAAAACCACAGTAAACAACTATACATATTGAATAAGAAAAGATTGAGCCACTTGGATAGGGAACTCTCTCTATCCACCTGTTAGTCTTTAGTCATCTTCTTCTATATGCCATTTATGCCCTGTTTGGCATCACTCCGGAGAATCAATTCTCCAGATGAGAATGTCATTTGGCGGTGCCTTTTCCTCAGATCAGATTCTATTCAGAATACAAAACACACACACACACACACACATTTTTCAGTACATTTCTTACAAGTGGAAAAAAAATCACTTCTTACAAGGATGATTCTCACAACATCCTTTTTAAGTTGCAAACTATATGCCCAAGTTACACATGAAAGCAAGGACACTTGCGTACATTTGCATAAAAAATACTCCTGGCTTGGAAAAAAAAAACCCTTCCATTACTCAGTCTACTTCATTCTATCCTCAAAGGCTCTCCCTCTGTTCAATGATGCAAGAGAGCTCCATTGGTGACTCCCATTTTCATCTATCTTCGATCTCTCAGGTAAATCCTTTTTCTAATCGTTTCTAGTCAAACTGTAAAAGCTACTCCCATTTCCTCCTTTGTTTAGTCTTTCTGAGAAAAATGACTCCATCTTCTCCTTTGTCGATGGATGATCCACAAACGATTCAAATGTTATGGTCTTTATTCTGCGGTCAGGGTTAGAACAGGGGGAGACAGAGAGAGAGAGAGAGAGAGAGAGATGGTGGATCAGAGAGGCTTGTTTCCTCAGTTGAGTTGCAGAAAAAGCAAAGGAGGAAGAGGAAGAAAAAGAAGTGTGGTGGCTAAACATCAGTCTGGTCCTTCTGGATGTTGAGAAATAGGAAGTGCCAAACGCCCACATTGTTTCTTAGAATCTGGAAAATCCAGAGTTCATTGATTTCTGAAAATTTCTGAGAATGAGAATTTCCCAAAATTGGTGCAAAATGGAGCCTTACTTGCCATTTGATTTTATCTTATGTCACCATCTGTTTTGATCAAATTGAGGATCCTCTTGTCTTTTTTCGTTTTTTTTTTTTTTGGAATTATAGTAATTTAGTAAGTGATCACATCCAAAATAGTAAGCCAGTTTCCAATCACAGAATCCCCATTTGTTTTTTTTTCAGGAGAAGATTTCCAAAAAAAATAAATTGTTTTAACAAAATATCAGAAAATTTCAATAATATTCTCAAGACACTTTTGAAATTTTGAATTGATATCATTGTAAAGGCTCTTTTGAGATTGATGAATGAATGTATGAATTTAAATTGCTCTTGCAAAATTATGGTTTGGTGCTGACTCCATTAGGACTTATCCTTAATTTACTGCAGGTAGTTTAGCCCTTTTCTGAGTGCTAGTCTGCCTTATTATTCTAGGTTTGCTTTCCTTATTGCTTTTATGTTCTTCTTGCAATACTGGATTAGCTTCTCAATTTCTTCATTTCTCTTCTTACTTTCCACTCTTTTCCTTTTATTCCCTTGGCATTCTTTTACTTAATTTCTGCAATGCTCTTTATAGTACACCAGTCATCCTCACTAGCTTTTTCTATTTATAATTTATTTAACAAACCTGTAAGCTCTATTTGAAATCACCTTCACCCACTTATCAAATTTGTTTTCACTTGTTCTATTGGTTATTTAATCTCTTCAAGTTCTGTCCAGCCTACTATATTGGGCAAATCAAAGCTAAGTTTCAAACTAACAAGCTGAGGAATTTGTAGCCTGTTTCCAGCTTGCTTAGGTCCATTTCAGCCTTCTTAGTTAGCTTCTCTTTAGGTTGGTCCTGCATCAGACATCTTGTCCAGCCATGCACTAGCTGTATCTACGTAGCATGGCTAATAACTTCTCTCTAGAGTGCATGTGGCTTTGAAACATTACTCCTTATATGCCTTATATGCTTTTTTTTTAGATAAAAAGGTAAAGTATTTCATTAAATAACAAAACATGTACACAATCCTTGCACAGTAAGGTACTGGACAAGGCAAGCATCAACTTTGTACACCCCAAAAAAACACTATTCCATAAAATTCATACAAAAAGATTGTTATGATCAAAAGAAGAGCTGTAAGGTATTCTTGATTCTTGAATAACCTGTGTGTTGCCACCAGTGGCGGATCCAGGACCTTTGATCAATGGGGGCAGGTATTATCATAACATCAACTTAGTCACAACATTTGAGCTTTTCCAAAATAGTAAAATCACCAAAAAGAGTAACAACTCCTAACAGGACCCAAACTTCCTAAAAAACATATTTTAATGAAAGAAGACGTCATAACCAAGCTTGGACTCAAAATATGCTAAAACAATTAAGATACTTGACTACTATAAAAGAATAGCTTTTAGAAAAATGCCCGTTCAGGTGCCAAAATGACATAGTGCGATACTGGACTTACCTGTTACTTTTCCTATCTGATCAAGTTTCTTCCTACTATTTTTCTTCTCTGGGAAACTAGCCCTAGCAAAGTGGCATCCTGAATAAGTCTTACAGTCTCAAGAACTCTCAACTCTCAAACTCAATCACAAGTTCAATGAAACCAAACGAATCATGCTCTAACTTTTGTTTAATTATCTAAAATTTCTATTTTGCCCCTATATAAACACTCATGACAGGCAAATATATGCCTCTAGCTCTGGCCTCGCCTCTTAGGCCTTTTAAAACCATGAAAAAAGGACCCCAATTAAGAAGCCAAGTTTTATTTGACCCCCAAACTATTTTATTTGATCGGGGGCAATTGTGAAGAAGAAAATTAAATTTCTTCATACCTGTAAAAACTTTTTCAAATTGCAGTGGGGGCAATTGCCCACATTGACTTCTACATTGATCTGCCCCTAGTCGCCATCCATGATTATATTCTAATCCAACTACTTTTTAAAAATATATCTTCTGAGCTGAACTTGCCTTAAAAAAGTCTACTGCTTTTTTTTCCAAACTGACCACAGCACTGTTGCTGGAATTACCCCCCAAAAAATCTTTACTTCCTCAACACCCTCAGAGATTTCTTACAAAGCAAAGTACAGTACTCTCGTTATTTTAAGTGACACTTCACAAACATAAAAGTTCTGTTTCACTTACAAACTTTGTTGTAAGACAATAATTTTAGAGAACTCAAGAAACAAATTCTAAAGGAAGTTCCAAACAATCAAAAATGCTTGACCTCCCATTCCTCATAAAAATGTTGGGCTTAACACTACACACAAATAATGCCTTTTAGCCAATCGGTTCCTCAAGATGAAACATATGATGAATGGTAATTCTGACAAATTAGATAGGGGGTGTTCAAAAAAAGGCTATGATGTGAAACATTAAACATCCATCTTAGATATGAGCATAGATCATGAGACACAGTTCTTCTTGCCCATAAGTTATATCTCTCACCATAAGAAATAAATAGCACAAATTTGTTCACAAATATGAACCTTATTTCTTTCCATCAAAATGAAGCCATAGAAGAATCACATCAGCTAAATGTGCACCCCTCCTGGCAATGCACCATCATAGTTCATCCAACACTAGTAAGAGATTTTTTTGTAATAAAATAAAATTTATTACAAGAAAAACAAGAATAATACAAGGAAGGTGCCTGGAATCACTTGAGGGAAGGAAAAAAAAAAAAAACACTACCAAACAAAATCAACTCCAAAACACTCGATTTAACTCCACAGTCAACACCCATACCCCACCAAACAAGGAAAATGGCCCAGAAAATAATAAGCCCCCTCAACGACTACAACCCAACTAAGACATCCCCGAGACAATCTGAAACAAACAGACCAGCTACAAAGCAAGCCCCAACTGAACCAAAAGAGTACGATCAGAAAAGACAATCCAAACACTAGTAAGAGACAGCTCACAAGTTTGAGGAAATATATCGTTACAAAATTACCCACTTAAGAAATTCCACTAAAGACCCATTAGAGTGGAACGCAAGCACAATGAGGATCTCCGTTGCTATTTTGAGATAACAAAACCGCATCCACTTTTTATAAGGTTGAAATCATTTATCTAGCATCTTAAAATTATTCCTGCTTAATGGAGGAAAACTGATGCAGTATTATTTTGCTAAAACAGTACCTGTAAGTTAGCGTGTAAACATCTTGATTTGCCATGACATAGAGTTCACAGACTTTTTACTAACACAGCCAGATAGTTCCAATAATGTCTAACAGCATAAATTAAGAGTCCTAACCGCACAAGTTGAGCCTCTGCCAGTTATGCTACCCTATAACATTAAATTCCTATAATGTCCCGTTCGAGGTACATTGAAGGTCCTAAATGCACGAACTGAGCTTTTTCCAGTTATACCTCCTGTCTCCATAACATCATACTCTAGTACAAAACGTAGGATAAAATTCCCCTAAATACTCCAAATTTGTTGATTACAAAACAGAGATTGATTGTTCTTTCCGAATTCTACAACCAAGGACTTAGAGATTAAAAGTTTCTTGAAGAAAGGCAAGGCATCAGAGTTCGGGGTGCATAAACCGGTATTAAACTCTGGGACACGTAACCACAAAGAGAAGATATCATGTACCTTGTGCAAGCTGTCAGGCCACTGCACTGAGATCCGGTACCCATCGGGCGGAGGGATCAAGCAGAGGGGAGTCTCTTCGGGCAATGGGCAGTGACGTTCTCGGTAGAAGTTCATCTCTCGGCTAAGCTGACTGTTCCTTCTGGGATCCTCACAGGGCATGTAATCAACTGCATCGGCAGGGCATGCTTCAATAGTTTGCTGCTGCCCAGCCTCAATCAAAGCAATCATCCTCTGCCTCTGGCGGGGATCGGCCATGGAAAGAGTCTGACGTCCGGAGGCGGCTAGCGAATCACCGAGTGGAGTAAAGACGAGGAGGAAGAAAACGAACACGGCACCGAATAAAGCAGCGGAGACGAGATCCAGAAGCCTCCACTGTCGAGAGTTTCGCTTCGAAGATGGAAGATTCAAGTGCCCCATTGTTAGAAGGAAATCAGATCGGATCAGATTTGCATTAAAGTCCCAATTCCCGTGGCTTCCACCGAAATCCTAGGGCTTCTAATGGTTTCCGAACCGAAGTGAACCTTTTCTATGCGTCACTGTGATTACTAATCACAGATGCGGAAGGTATGAATTTCGAATAACAAAGTTTAAGTTCCCCGGGGGGTGTCTGAGTGTCTCACCTAACTCGCTAGCTCCCTCTCACTCACACACTCTCATCAGTCGTTCACCAAGACAGAGGAGCGAATTCATCACAAGGAGCTTCTCTCTATCTCTATCTGTGTTTCAGCACTGATGAGGGAGTGGGGAAATGGAAAGGCGGTATAGGCGCGGTTAGCTTTTTCTATTTTTTCTACTGTACCCGATACGATACGATACTAACAACACGATACCTGCTGTCTACAAAACACAACCGTCGAATCAAATGTCCCCGACAAAGTTTGGGCTGTTTACTGCTTCCTACATATAGCACGTTACCCTATTTAGAGCACCGTATTCGTCTTTTTCAATTAAAAGAACATTGGCTTAATTACCATTTTACCCCATACTCATGCTAACGTGTCATGCACATCGCCCACGACCGGCCACCGGGAGGGAAGCATAACCAGAGTTACGAGTGTAGCCAATAACGCAAGCCACACTTCACAAGCCAACCCCAGCTCGGTCCAGCCCAGCCCACCCTAACTTGAGCTATAGTATTGGACTATAGGGTTGGTTACTGATTAGGCTTGTAAATCTGGGTTACGGGATGGACCTGGGCCTGGCATAACTAATGGCCCATCTTTGGCTTGGTTTTCTACTTTTCTTTTATTAGTGAACCCACCCACCATCATCTAAAATTAAAATACATACGAGTTGAGCAAGAATCAGGTCCTTCACAGTTCACATTAGCTGCTGGACTTCTGGCTGCAGTAGTGAAGCTGAAGCCTTAAGATTCTCTTAACATGGGAACGTTGAAAATGTTATTGGCTGTGGCAGCCTATATATATTTCAAAAAAAATATAACATTTATTTTATGATGAAAATAGTTGGAAAAAATATTTATATTTTTTTAATAGTTTATTAAAATTTTCAGATTGAAATATCTGACATCTTTAGTGGATTCGGATTTAGATCAACATTTGTCTGACCTGATATTTTATATAAACTGTTATTTTTTTCTTTTAATAATTTATTAAATTGCTCAAAGATCGGAGTTGGATATCTAACATCTTTTAGTGGATTTAGATTTGGACCAACATTTGTATGATTTGATATTTGTATTATGTTTCGAATTTTGATATACCCCATTTCGAATCCAATCCAATTCGTTTGCATGAATTGAAAACTTCGAAATTAAAGTTAAGTCATCCAACCTTCATGAGGGGCACACATAGTTCATGGTACACCAACTCAGACAAATTTAACACAACCTCAAAACGATGAAGCTATAACTTGATCGGAGCTAAATCGGCATAGCTGAAGTGGTGTGAAGGGGTGTGTGTGTTGATGATATATGGAGAGCTGCAACCGTAAGGCTTGTAAGGCTTGGTTAATGGGAACACTGATCTTGTTCTCATCATGTGCCACACTGGTGGCCGGAACCATCGACTGTGGGATAGTGACGACGCTCGTCTCCACCTGTACCAACTTCATCACTTACGGCTCGCCGGACCCCTTCCCGGGATCACCGTGCTGCGACTCCATTCTAGCGCTGGATCACATGGCCGACTCATCAACCAACAATCGCCAATCTGTGTGCAGATGCTTGATGTCTCTCATAAGTCCTTACAACCCAAATTCCACAGCTATCGCTACGTTACCTGGATTGTGCGGCATCTCTCTTGGCTTTACCATTGATCCTAACACTAACTGCAACTAGTACCTCTCTCTCCCTCTCCCTCTCCCCTTCTGATTCTTAATCTTAGGTCATGTTTGGGAGTGTTTAAGTTAAAAATAATTGTTTATTCAGATAAGCATTTATTTGCATTTGGCATTCAATTTTTTCAAATATTTATTTTTTAAAATAAGTACTTATTTTATATTGGGTGTTTGGTACTTTTTTTTCTCTAATAAGCATTTGTGACAATTTTGTCCTTCATTTTCTTTCAAATTTTCAAAATATACCCTTTAAAAACACTTTTATTAAAATTATTTTTATAAAAAACACTATGAAAGTGCTTTTACGAAAATACTTTATAAAAATACTTTTATGAAAGCACTTTTATAAAAGTACACTTATGAAAGTATTTTTATGAAAGCACTTTTATAAAAATTCTTGCATAAAAATACTTTCTTAAAAATGCTTTCATAAAAGTACTTTTATAAAATTCAAGTAGAGATAATTTTATAAGCGGCATTTTAAAATTCAACTAGGGATAGTTTTGGAAGAAAATAAATTAAATAAGTATAAACACTTAAAAAAATCTGGAAATTTGGGCTTAAAAAATAAGTTTTTATTTTTAAAATAAACAATTATTTCAAATTTATTTTCCAAATACTAATAAGCGATTGATGGCCCAAATAAATACTTATTTTAAAGCACTCCCAAGCATGACCTTAATTAATTTTGAGTAGCTTTTAACAATTTGATTTGGTTTTACTGGCGGTGCAGCATTCCTTAAGGTTGGGGCTATTTGGCTGCGTAAACTGCTGTCTTTGGCCACGTAAAGAGTAGTTTGGTCGCTTTGAATAGTGAAAGCGTTCAGAGTATAATAAGTGGTGGGTATTTGTCAGAATTAGAAGCTTGTGAGTAGTTTGTTTGTACAAGTGATCTGAGTTCAGAATTAGAAGCTTATTAATATATAGTTTGTTAGTTTGCACCCAGTGAGAGGATTGGCGAAAGTATTTCAAATATGAACTATAGATCGTCTATCTTCGCAAAACACCAGTCTGACAGATCACTGGTATTGATATAGTCTGTGTACCGGGAAGTCCGTAGATTATGGGGTTCTCATTTCCATGCTGGTTTGAAAAGCAGTGGCATCAGTGTTTGGATCAGGTCATGTTTGGCTAAAATCCTGCTTCAATATTTGAAGAATGAGTTTTGAGTCAGAAAATCACTATTTCGAGCCTAGAAGGATAATTATTTTTTGAGTCAGAAAATTGATGAGCTACATTTTTTAGCTCCAAAAAACCAATTCTAGGAATGTATTTGAGACTAAAAGAAAGGGTTTAATTTCAACAATATTCATACATCGAAACTTAAAATTGATTCTTAGAAGCACAAAATTCATGAGAATTAATTCTCTGAAACTATGCCAATGCAACCTAAGCGCATTATATATATGGTTGTTTTGAGAAAACCTTGAGAATCTACAGTAGATTTCACGAGAGCAGTCCCCAAATGGACCCTTTTATTTTTTGTTTTTTTTTTTTATTTTGAGAAACTATTTCACCATTTCAAGACTTTAGACGGAGCCCTCTTAAATTCTATTTCAGTGCTATGGTCAGACCAAGGCTCTGTTTGTTTGCAGTGAACATTTGAAATGAACACATCTTGCATATGGTTCATGAGTTCAGTTTTGCCTCTGTTTCAAAATTTGCACTTTTGCCTGGACTTGATTGCTGTGCAATTTTATTGTTTCAATACAAATGTATCTGAGTGCAAATGAAAATAATGCAAATTGTTGTTTTATTTTGTTTTGGGTTTTAATTGTTTTATTGGTCTTATTTTACTCTATTTGTGCTGTAATCAAATAAAATAAGGTAAATTTTGAAACAAAAAAAAATCAAATTTTGCACTCAAATCTTTTGCACTACCATAATTTTGCATTGGTGCAAATAAATTTACTTTATTTCATTTGCGTTATTTATTGATAACGTAAATTTTACATTTCAAAAACTGATGAAAACTTTAGGCCACTTTGGCATTTTCCTTTTACCTTAAGGCTCAGTTTGGAAAGAGTATAAATGCAAATATGTACAGCGTAAATGCATACAAAATATAGAGTTTTGCATTCTACATATTTGCATTTGTACTCCTTCCAAACTCAGCCTAAGGCACCGTTCACTTGGCGGTATTTAGTGAGGGTAAGTTGGTCAATTGATAAATTGACCATGATTTTCATGTCCATTTGACGCAATATCAGGTTTCACAATAATTGATGATACCGGAGAGTATATGTCAATTACCCAGTTACCCTCCTGGAAGGTGGGTAAGCAACAATTACCCATGTGCCAATAACACACTCTCTCTCTCTCCTCTCTCTCTTAATCGAATAACTTTATCATACAAGAACGTTGGAACCTCGCTTACCCAAACAAATTTTAGATAAACATATTTACAAAGTAAGTCAAAACGAATCATGTCATTTACTTCCTACCAAGGTTCAAATTATTGTTATTGGCCGATACGGCCTACCGATTTAAGTCCCGACTATCCTCTGAACCAGTGTCTGACGCAATACAACCCCTATAACAGCATATCAAAAAGGGCCTACAGGCCAATACTTAAATATTTTTTTAACCTTGCTTCCTACCCCATTCCTCTCATATGAATAACCCTACCTCCTACAAATAGGAGACTGCATCATTTAACTTTCTATTTTACTTATACAAACAAACAAAAACAAAGACAAATCTATAGCAAAAGTAAATCAGGATTAATCTACACTCAGCGCATTTTCACTCCCATCTCGCCCAAGGTAAAGTCAGTATCAGTTGAGAAAAAGATCGACAAATATGGCGTGGCACATGAAGAACACAAGTACAACGAATGTTTGGATTTATCTTTTCATGGTGCATTATTTTCTTTTGCTAAATCCTCCTCCAATTATTCAAGGAAGAAGACTGTACATTGTGAAAATGAATACTGTGCTGAGACATATAGACAAAAAGCCTCAGCAACCGCTCTGTTCAATCTTTTCTCCTCTCTGATTGGATGGAGCTTTGTATTGTATGGTCAAAGTTTGCAGCAAATTTGCAGTACCCAGAAGTTGGTTGGATCATCATGTGCCCGAGTTTGGGCCGGGTCGACACATTTTCTACTCCAAGTAATTACGAGTTGTCGCATTGTGAACTATAATCCAATTAACTTGGCTTCACAGTTCACTTCACAACAACTCTCACATGTGGTGTTGCAATGCAGACGCTCAACACCTTCACGAGCATTAAATAAATCCTAAGCATGCTTTAGTCCTTCATAGTACAGGGGACCATACTTTGCATCCCATTGTCAAACCTTTTTCACATAGACAGTAGCATCACCCCACTCCAACACCCTAAAATCCTGATTTCCCCACTTCTCACCCTATCCTCTGATATTTATCTTCTTTTTTTGCCACGTGGCATCTTTCTATAGGATTCAATGCTTCTAAATTGAGCCATGTGTCAAGTTGTAGCCATGCTAGCCTGAACTGATATCTAGAGACCCAATTAATTGAGGGACACTGGATAAGAATCTATTGAACAGAGCATACATTATAGTTCAAGTAACTACTTGACATTAGTAAAGTATATCTGATATTATTAAAATTAAATATCATAATGAGGGAGACACCATTAATCGAGTGTCGGAGACATTTAATTAAGTACTTTTATTTTTCAAAAATCCTGTTTCAGAAAATGACTTTTTCAGAAACCCATTTAGGCCAAAAAGCACTTCCAAATGCGGTAATGGGATCAATCAATGAAGAATGTACACAGTACACACCCGATTAACTATGAATGTATTCCTCATCCTTATTTAATATGGAAAGCTAGAACAGTACGTTCATAGGTGTAGGAAACCATTCCCATGGTCGTTAGGGGTGCAACTTGGATAAAGCTGGATTGGGAATTTGTTAAATTTTCAATCGATTCATGTCCATTGTAGTTGAAACCAGTGTTTTCAGACCTGAAAAACTGGGAACCGGTTCTGTTTCATTCTGAAATCATTTTTTGGCCAAAATCGTTCATTTGGTCAACAAATCGTTGAACCATCAACCCGGCAGGATAACAGTTTTTGCATCAAAACGAATCATCTTTCAGACCGAACAATCGGACCGTTTGACCCAAAAACCGGTTCTAAAATGGTTCCTTATTCAGTCCTGTTTTAAAAACCTTGGTTGAAACCCTTCAAATTGATCAACTCGATTTGTATTCATAATCACTGACAATTTTTAAAACTCACCAATTCTCCCCATTGCTATCATAATTTTTTGGTCCCACCTACTAGGGGTTCTTTGTCATTGTCAATATGCAGGATTTTGTTTCTCAAAACTAAGATCAATTACTGATTTTTCTGTTCATTTTTAAAAACAAAATCATTCACATTGTCAAACACCCCTTAAGTTCAGTTTGGAAGAAGTACAAATGCAAATGTGTAGAGTGCAAAACCTTATGTTTTGTATTATTTTGTATGTATTTGCACTGTACATATTTTCATTTATACTCTTTCCAAACTATTTTTTTATACTCAAAGAAATCCATTAAAACTAAACAAAAGGAAGACCAGAATAAGTCTCGAGAGGTTAGCTAGAGTCAGATCTTGCAAGAGCCTTCCATTTGTTTCCCATCAGAAATCAGAAACAAAAGTTGTCTCTACTGTGTTTGGTTGCAGTGCAATTTTATTTGCACCAGTACAAATGCATGAGAGTGCAAATGAAAAAAATGAAAATTCTTGTTTAATTTTGTTTTGGGTTTTACTTTATTCTGCTACATGTCTTATTTTATTTTATTTATACTTATACTGCAATCAAACAAATAAGCTAAAATTTGAAACAAAAATATGTCAGAATCTACACTCAAATCATTTGCACTGTCATAATTTTGCATCAGTAAAAATTTATACTAAAACTAATCCACTTGGCAGATTGCGAGAATCAATAACATTAATTTACAAGCCTCACATTTATTAACAACACAATCAAACAGTTTTTTTTTCTTTGACAAATAGAGGTT